CTGCATTATTTATCGCACGCGATTTACCCCCCCCCCCCCCGTAACGCGGTGCCCTGCAGGAACGCGTAAACTGCAACCGCGTTTACAGAGGAACCGATTCCGTACAAGCGTACACCGTGCACGCGTACTCGCGTGGAAGTGTGCGGAGGGGAGAGGGATACTTTTGCTGGACTGCTGACGTGGACTTAACGTTTCCTTCGTTGAACCCCCGCGGACTTCTCAGTAGCCCTCCTTTACCTTTGACCCCCGTGGCCTTCCGTACCCCTTCAAGGGTCAAGGGGGGGTGACCCACTCGTTGAGAACCCCCCGGGGGAATGTTGTTTTTACCAGTGTAGTGAATGTCGTGCTTTCTGATAGTTACAGGGGTCATGTGAATTGATTACAACATAGCAATCAAAATAATGTGTTTCCCACAGATGCAAGCGGATGCCCGCGTATCACGAGTGCAAGAATCGATGTCATCAATAAATAGATGTCTCGCTACATTTCTAATTGACTCCACCCGAGCATGCGGAATTAACTCTCTTGTAGTCGTCTGTGAATGCAGGTTGAGGATAAATATCCAAACTTAATGAGGGCCTATCGGAGTGAATTATACGGCATGGTTTTTTTCTGCCCACCTATTTTTTTGGCCTACTCGTTTCACCGTGCCTTGATTCACATTGGCCTCACATTTACCGCTTGCCTTGTACGCGCCGGAATTAAGACCGAAAACTGGAGGACCGCTTCACATTTATGATGAATCCTGTCGACAGGCGATTCGCTAAATTTTAATCTCCAATGAAATCAAAAAAAGTTTCAAGTATAAATGTGGCAAATCGCCCAATGAAGCTGGATTTTGTTACCAGCGAAACGACACCGTACTCGAATGAGATATTTTTCAGCGGGTTTACTCTCCAACACACCGGTGTGCTGAACTAGTAACTAATTGACACGTTTTGTTTACGCGACACACATTAATAATTGGTTTAACACGTAGGCTTTCGCGACCAATATGCTAATTAGAGGTTCTTGGGTTAGATCGCGTGAATATAAATGTGTCGTTGAACCCCCCGCCACCCGACACAGCCAATGAGTAAGGTTTGTCACGTAAACAGAACGTGCCAATTCGTGACCAGTACAGCACACCGGTTTTTTTTGGAGAGTAAATCCACAACATTGACTAATTTACTAACATTTACTACCTACTACTTGGCTGTGTTGGGTGGTGGTGTTGATGGGTTAAAGACGCATTTATATTGACGCGATCTAACCCAATTAAACCCTTGTTATGGAGGGTTAAAGCTAATTTTTTGTTAGTTTATATCTGAATTATTTGCTCATGAATGTTAAAACAGTAGTGCCATGGCCTAGTACGCAATATATAAAGGCAAGGAAGTTACTATGAAATCCGCTGCATGCAGAGTTTTCAAAAGTAACACTGAAAAACACAAGCTCTGAAATGAATCATGGTTAATTAGATAATTCTATGTTTAGTTAAAATTTGTCTGGTTATGGAACTTCCTTTAATTTAGTGTGATAAAAACACTCAGCAGTGACCGGTAGCCTTTCCATTTGGTGTAATGTACAGTACATCAATTTATATTGTTTCCAGCTTAATCCGGTTACTTGTATTGAATTTGTATTGATGATGCATTTCATTTACAAGTGCAATGCATTGCTGCGGCGAATTTGACGTGATCTTTTACATTTGTCACTGCGGTGCCTATTAGTCTACTAGCCTATGACAGGCCCATAGACAGAATGAGAGAGGCTTTGGCCTCCTGCGTGTGCTGGTAATGTTTGAACCTGTCGGTGATTGTGATACTCATGCGGGGCAGCTGTCGGGAACATATGGCTGTGAACCGAGAGCATCGGCCATAATTTCTTAGCCACAACGTCAGAGCAAACTCTGCTCCTTCCAGGACCGATCGTCCTTACACACAAGTCGAAAGAACCGCCGTGGAGCCTTAGCAGACTGTCGGGGCAAGTGCTGTTAGCGAGCACATATGAAGGCCGGCACGGTACACGAGGGGGTGGGTGGCCAAGCCCCACGTCCGACCGCCTTTCTCTGCCTAGTGGCGATGTTTACACATTGCACCGGGTACTCATTTGAGGCTGAGTCTACCTAGGGGAGGCCCAGGACCGGTTTAGATAATCGTCACTGTTGTTGGCCGTGAGCGGTGAATTGAACACGGGCCTCCGGGTTTGAAGCGCAGCGCCTTAGCCGCTACACGACCAAACAAAGACACGGAGACGCACACAAAAAGAGACGCACGCATTTTCACAGTAAGCATAATCCTCCAAGATGTGATTATATGATGCTTTGACTTTGTAGAAACATATCAAAATCATAATCTTTATTAATCTTTGAGAAATCCGATGGTGCTATGAAGCACCTTTTCACAGATGTCCAGTCGGGATGGCTCAGCAAGTTACATCACAACAATACCAAAAAACGATAGGAGTGCATATTTTAGGAAAGGTAATGATATCACTGAAACGAAAACTAAACGATTTTTATTTTTACCCTATAAAGCCCACTGAGCTATTAGTTATTTTTTCCAAAGCGACCTGGATGCCATAAATGTGATAGCTCAACGAAGCGGCTTATCACGTGGAAATTCAAAAGCTGCTAAATAAAGAGATTATCTGGCAGCTCCTCACACAGCTTGCCCCGAGCTCTGCTCGGCAGGCCGTTTGCCCAGCAAAGGGGCGTTTTGATCCCACCGGGACCATGTGGCTTCCACCACGGGTGATGCTCCGGGCGCCGCGGTGACGAGATATTAACTGCCTCGCCTGGTATACAGGAGGTCGTGGGGTGTTTGCGTCGGCATGAGAGAGAGAGAGACAAACCACAGACACGGAGACACATGGACAGACACACAAGCAGAGAGAGACAACACAGAGACACACTATGTGTGTGCCTCTCTCTTCTGCGGCCGTCTGGAACGCTCTCGTTTACGATGTTAGGAAGCCACTGGAGCTATGCACTTTTAAATAAGCTAGATTGAAAACTCATTTATTCAGAACTTTTGCCTGGGCAAGGGGCGTTTTGATCCCACCGGGGCCATGTGGCTTCCACCACGGGTGATGCTCCGGATGCCGCGGTGACGAGATATTAACTGCCTCGCTTGGTATACAGGAGGTCGTGGGGTGTTTGCGTCGGCATGAGAGAGAGACAAACACAGACACGGAGACACATGGACAGACACACAAGCAGAGAGAGACAACACAGAGACACACTATGTGTGTGTCTCTCTCTTCTGCGACCGTCTGGAACGCCCTTGTTTACGATAGTAGGAACCCACTGGACAACAAACTAAACACTTTGAAATAATCTAGATTGAAAACTAATTTCTTCAGAAGTGCTTTTTGCGTTTAGTTTGTTGTTCTTCCCCCGCACCGCTGATTATATTTATTTCGGAAGCAATTTGGCTGTAGACCAGTGTTAGCAAGGTTGGCGATGTACGGTGCGAAATAAGTTCAACATACACACACACATAACAATAATACCAAGTGTTGAAACTGTCAGCTGGAATACAAAGGACTTTTATTTGTTATGGAACATGTCAGATATAAATGGGCGAGAGATAATAATGGTGCGGCCGTCTGGAACGCTCTTCCTTCCAATATTTGGAAGCCACTGGAGTGAGATTGAAAACGATATTCTCTAGAACTGCTTTTTGTGTTTAGTTTGTTGGTTTTTCCCCGCACCTCCGATTATAAATTATCACGGTTGTCTTCGTATGGTGCGAAAGAAGTTCCTACATACGTACAACACGACAGCGGAGGCAGTGGTGAATTGCCAGGGATCACCCGGGTTCCGCTCACTCATGACGGAAGCGTGGGATGTTTCGCGCCGGCCGGAATCGCCGCAGTAGTCTCAAACTTTATAGTGGGGACCCCCATGGTCAGCTGGCCCTGTGCAGCATAACGTGACTCGGGTGCCGTCTTGCACGCATGCATCGGTCTGTCCAGTTTGTGGGGGGGGGGCATGTTGCAACACACACCCTATTTGTAGAGTGTGTAGGTATATATGCCTACCTACACACCCTATTTGTAGGGTGTGTAGGTATACAGTATATGCCTACACATCCTACATACAATGTAGTCATTAGTATCTGCACACATTAGGGGGGGGAAGAGGACTTGTGGCAATTTGAAAGGAGAAAATGATTGGTTATGACTGCAATGCGTAACATTGTAAAACTCTCCACTCTCCCATTGTGCAATGTTGTGGTTCCGTACGTATTGCCTGTGGGAATTCACTGCTTGCTCAACTTCAAGCCTGACATTCGAGTGCATTCTACGTATTCTCCATGTGACCTCAGAATAGCCAACCAAAGGGGGCAGGGTTAGTGTCGAGATAGGATGGGGAATTGGAATTTTTGTTTTTGTTGTTGCCAACTTCAAGCTGCCCTGGTGTAAATGGTGAGTGCGCTGCACTTGCAAGCCAGAGGATTGCCGGTTCGATTCCATCTCCAGGCATGGCAGTTTGGAACAACGGTACAGATAACAAATCCCTCCCACTCACCTCCCCCGCCTCTATCCACCCAACGGTATAAATAGGTACAACCGCAGCAGTTGGTCAATCGGCAGGTCACGTGTGGTGGGTTAAAATGTGGGCACGCACATCTCTTCCATCGCGTCGAGTCAGTGTGAAAGAGTAGGCCAAAGGCCTTCTTCGAGTCCGCTCGAACGGAGGCGATTTCGTCGGCAGCGGCGTCCTGTTGTGGTAAATAATATAACAATTATAATAAATTATATTGATTTGCAACCGCTTTAATTTCATCAAGCTAAACTCTCCACAGACTACTTTACTGTCGTTTTATGCTACCCATATTCGGCATTGTGCTGTTGTTGTTATTCGGCTTTGCGTAAACTATTGGTCAGTAACGAATTGTAAAGTGTGATTATGGCGGTGGTGGCGGTGGTGGCGGTGATGGCGGTGATGGTGGCGCTGGCGATGGTGGCGGCCGTGTTTCTGACGTGTCTTCTTACTTTTGTGTGTGCTGCAGTGGCCATGTTCCTCAATACGCTGACTCCCAAGTTCTACGTGGCTCTGACAGGCACATCCTCGCTAATATCAGGCCTCATCCTGGTAAGTAACTTCCTCCCCCCCCCCCGTAACACACATCTCTCATGCGCCTCCTCGAGTACACTATAAAAGGTTAAATGTACAGCCCTGGAATTGCTCGCTCACGCCATGATCATCAGTGAATGGGCCTCCACTAAATCGAACTCGAGAGGGTATTTAGCCTACTCCTCCACGATGTCCAGACGTGTTGAATGCGGCCGGCATACACCGCGCGTGACCTAGCGATCGGCTCAAGACGGTATCTGAATTTATGGAAAAAAAATATATTTTTTATTTATGCCAGGTAAGGCCCACTGAGCTATGTAGGTCTTTTTCAGAGGTGACCTGTCCAACAAATGATAGCTCAGCGAAGTGGCTCATCACGTGGAATGTTATAGCAGCCAAAAACTTAAATGTGTGGAGGGAAAAAACGGGAGGACCCGGAAAAAATCCACGCGGCCACGGCGCATGCATGCAAATCCAAATGTACAGGCATCGTCAGGGTCGGGATGGAACCCACAACCTCCTGCAGGAGGTAGTTAACATCTCGCCACCGTGGCACCATTACTGCTGGGTGGACAGAGACTTGGCTTCTCTCCGTAAAGAAGGGTATTGAGAATCGGTGAGGATTTCCTGGGTAAACATGTCTAAGTCTTTAGTAATAACATGTTAATTAAACCTACGTGCTGCATGAAATGCCAACGTACTACGCGTAAAGATGTAAGAATCGGCTGCTTTACCCTTTCTGCCAAATAAAACAGGAGGTGTTAAGATATTTCAACACCAAACGGATACCTTTTGCAGGGTGTCAAGTCTGCATTAACCGCACACAGTACATGCAAAGAAGCACGCTCTAGTAATACAGGCCTTGTCTCCGAAACTGATTGGCCTGCACCAGAGACGGCCTTCTTTATGGCCTTGTCTGACCAGTGTTAGACCATAGAACGCCAAAAGGCGAACAGTTAAAAGACAATACAATTGTCAGAGCATTTATAACGCGGGTTGAGCATAAATGATCAGAGTGTTTGCGTGTTTTGCCACAAGTCCGTCTGGTTAGTGCAGATTTGATGCCTTGCAAAAGGTGTTTGGTGTTTGAACATCTTGCCAGAAAGGGTAAGACCTATTCTTATATTTTTCATCATTTTGATGCTGGCAAAACAACGGTCTCATATTCTAGATTTGAAGTTTTCGTGACTGCAAGGATCCATACTTTTTGTTTTTTTCGGTCAAGTCACGTCGGTAAAAACTAAAATAAATAAAAATGAAAACGGCTAAATTAAATCGCGACGTTTCGGAAGCAACACAAGCCTCCGTCTTCAGGTGGAACCGCCACAGCAAAATTACTGTAGTGTATAAAAAGACGATCTCGTAGATAAACTACACACATATATATACGCCAGCAAAAGTAGCAAACTCAATATTCTGAGTTCTATTGTCTTTGACTTTCTTACCCCCCCCCCCCTCTCCCCGGCGTTATCCCACAGATATTTGAGTGGTGGTACTTTCGCAAGTATGGCACTTCGTTCATCGAGCAGGTATCGGTCAACCACTTGGGCCCTCTGCTGGGCGGCGTGGAGAACAACAACTCCCCAGGGTCGTCATCGAGCAGCAACGGGGGCGATGCAGACTCCAGTCGGCAGAACGTGCCAGGTGCGTGCGCCTATTGCGAACGTGCCTCTGTCACGCACCGCACACAGAGAGGGGTGGGGGGTGTGTGGGGCCCTGCAATGCATGTGGGCCCACACCTCTGAATGGCGTGGTTGGCTATGCACGATGCGAAAAAAGTTCAACATTGAAAGGAAATAATAAAATAAAAAAAATAAAACATAATAAAATGATTCTCACGACGTTTTGGCCACAACGCAAGCAGCCGTCCTCAGGTGAAGAACAGGTCTGTCGGGGAGACAGCGTCTCATTCAGACGCTGTCTCCCCGACAGACCTGGTCTTCACCTGAGCGTCTCATTCAGACGCTGTCTCCCCGACAGACCTGGTCTTCACCTGAGGACGGCTGCTTGCGTTGTGGCCGAAACGTCGTGAGAATTATTTAATAATGTTTTATTTTTATTATTTTATTATTTCCCTTCTACGTGACTTTACCGAAAGAACCAAGAAGATGAATCCCTGCAGTCACGAAAGCTTTAAATCGAAATTTAAGTTCAACATACATGCAGGGTTGGTTGTGGAGCTCGCTTTTACATTGGTGTTTGAGTCTGTCTAAAGTAACGAACTTTAAACTATTTTTATTTTACCAGGTAAGGCCCGCTGAGCAACGTAGTTGTTTTTCAGAAGCGACCTGGTTATCGCAAATGACAGCTCAACGAAGTGGTTCATCATCGTCTGGACATTTATAGCAGCAAAATAATCTAGACACGAGATGTCGTTTCTAAATGTGGAGGGGAGAAAAATGCACGTGACCACGGGGAGAGAGACACACAAACTCCAAATATACAGCAGGCGTCAGGGTCAGGATCTATCCCAACATATCCTGTATACCAGGCGAGGTAGTTAACATCTTGCCACCGTGGCGCCTCTGATGACAAGTCTGTCGATGGAAACGCACACTTATACAACAGTTTTAAACGCATAAACTTGATTTGTAGCGGAGCGGTGATACAAGGCTTTGCGCTTTGCTCATATGAACCCGACGAATCGAATTGGCTTTTTGGTCATGGCTAAACTCTTTGGTGAGTATTGTCTGAACTGATCCTGGCCACCTTCTTTGCCAGCCCACGCCGACCTGCGGCGTGGTGTTTGGGGGAAGGCCTTCATACAGCAGTGATCGGCAAAATATGTAAATAATTGAATAAGTAATCCCACTCTATTGGAGTAAAATAATTGAATGGAATGTTTTTTTCTTCTGGTTTCTGTTGCAAATAAAATGTCTAACTCGCATCAGAGCCCTGGCTGGGTTTGCCTAGTTAGATTCGATACGTTCTGTTCAAATCATGTGTTTCTCTCGCGTATCTCACTTGTCCAAGTCTTAACATTTTAACTTCGAAACTATGGTAATATCCTGTAACTGTTCCTCTCCAGACAATGAGAACAGTTGAATAAACTTGTTGCCGGAAGGCGGCTGGCACCAACTGCCGAGCAGCTTCCTTCACCAGCCTCCTCCACAGAAGCCGATTTCCATGCTGTTGACTTTTATCACAAGAATTAATAATTTTCACCAATTGCTAATGGCTGTAACCAGATATATCGACTTCTCTTTATTAACGGGCGCTCAAGCAAGGAGACCACTTTACTTCGTACAGTGGTCTTTGTAGTTTTCTTTTAAAATAATCAACTTTTCATTACGTGTGTGTATGTTGAACTTCTTTCGCACCGTACGTAGCCAACCGTGCTAATCGGAGGTGCGGGGGAAGGACAACAAACTAAATGCAAAAAGCAGTTCTGAAGAAATGAGTTTGCAATCTAGATGATGATTTAAACGTGCATTGCTCCAGTGGCTTCCTCATATCGGAAGGAAGAGCGTTCCAGATGGCCGCACCATTATTATCGCTCGCCCATTTATATCTGACATGTTCCATAACGCAAAAAAGTCCTTTATATTCCAGCGGACAGTTTGAATACTGGGTATTATTGTTAAATTTATTTGGCAGTGATTGGCGTGTTAGGATGGGAGCACGATGTGTCTCCAGGTATACCTTTCACCATCCGTAATTCCCCCATCTCTCCGCTGCCAATTGTCAAAAAAATTCATGAGAACTCTCGCGTAATTGTTTCATGTTTTTATTTCAGAATGCAAGGTCTGGCGAAATCCTCTGAATTTATTTAGAGGTGCGGAATATAACAGGTAAGCATTTCGGCAACGGTGGTTGTCCTGTAGCGTTTACTGGTTCCCCAGACGTAATAAAACGTGTAATTTGCACCTTCGTTTCGGAGCCACAATCACAACACTGTCGCCACCCTTTCAACGCCGATGGAAGTGGCCCGCTTGCGCAGAGCGGAGGTGGATGCATTCGCCGCGTCATGGCGACGCTACTTAAGTTGACGCCCGACGCCGACTGAGGCCATGTTTCCCCGCCTCTTGCTTTGCGGCTGTGAATTTGCGAGTGCAATTATTTTTGCTGTCTTTGTGTTATTTTAAACTATTGCTGTAATGTGGATACATTTTTTTTTGTAGGGACACGAATCGGGCAGCTCGTTCTTTGACACGAGAGCCAAGCTTTCGCTAAAACTCCTGACCCCCTCTCACTGCTGCCCCTCCCCCCTCTCACTGCCCCCCCCCCCTCTCACTGCCGCCCCCCCTCTCACTGCTGCCCCCCTCTCGTTTCCCAGGTATACGTGGGTGACGGGGCGGGAGCCGCTGACCTACTATGACATGAACTTGTCGGCACAGGACCACCAGACGTTCTTTACCTGTGAGACTGACAACCTTCGGTCAGCTGATTGTAGTAAGTACTGTGGTGAGCATTCTTGATACAATCCCTTTTGATCTGCGATGTGGGGCTTTTTCAAGTGTTGTGACCGCCGGTTTGCCTTCTGCGCCGTGAATGGGTCGTGTAGGGAAACGTGAAACAGCTCTGGCCACGTTCTAATGGGCGTCACCTTAGCCCCAGAGTCTCGCACGCACGGGAGCCTTAAATCATTGGAAGGACATCTTTGACATGAATGCATTGATTTAAAAGTTCATTACATTGGAAATATAACACTGGTCAACAAAAAAAGAACACATTTTTTCTGGCCTGGACTTTTGCAGCTGTTCTAGACTAATTTTAAGGTGCTGATTCCAAATCTGATCTCCGATTTGCTCTATCACGTCTCAATTTTATGCTATCGGCATACCCCATTTTCATTGATTTTTCGCGAAATTAACTCTGTCACTTATGATTGCAAGTTGTTGCGAGTCAGTGACTGCTTTTGTGTTAAAATATGGTGCTGTATTTTTAGGACAGTGTGTTTATAATATCATTTTATGTAGATATCCACATTTATTTAATATTTTTCTTCTGCAGTTTTTATTGAAAATGCAATATTTGATATCTCAATGTGATAGACAAAAACTGATGCCAGATTTGGAATCAGCACCCCAAAATTACCTTATAACCGTTGGAATACCTTATGCCAGAAAAAGTGTGTTGACCAGTGTAATTCTGTTGGGGAATTATGGTCTGGTGAAAATTTAGATGAAAATTCAAAGGCTTACAAACCGACGTGACATTATGGTTCAGGGATTTTCTTTGATTTTCAATTTTGCTTTGATCTACAGTAACATCTTTTGAAGCAGGAATTGGGGGTAAGCCTCCAAATTAATAAGCAATTAAATACATATTCCGAAAAAAGGAATGTCATTTGACCGGAGCACACATTATACACGATAATTAAACTTCCCAAGGTAGGGTTTTGCATTCTGTAGTCAATCCGCGTAATAAATGTCTCCGCTAATCATGTGTACAAAATCTGTGACGCGCCTGTCAGCACTAGGAAGTCTAAAAGAGTGTCGCAAACATCGTAATAAATACCAAACAATTGATAAGTATCCGTGTAGTAGCAATTCTAAGACTGTGTACTTGCCTATCGTGTGGAATTCGGTGAGCCCATGGATATCCCACGCTATGCTCATTGTTGCTCTGTTAACAAGGCGAATCGTTGCTTGGTGTTTCACGTATCGATATTCGTCCAACATGTGTCATAAGCAGCATACCTCATGTCCAATAGTGTAGAGTAGAAAGCCTCCTCCTCCTGGCGACGGTAATTGGTTCCCATGAAACCGTTCGCTAAGCGATTTGGTCGCGTTAAGCGAGTTTAGGAAATGCATGTTGAAGACTTAATTCGTTCCGATAGCATCAAAAAAACGTACTTCATAATATTTTAACAATGCATATTCATACGTAAAGACACGAACAACATTCTAAACACATACTGATTTGAAGCTTTCGTGACTGCAGGAATCCATGCTCTTTGGTTCTTTCGGTAAAGTGACGTAGGTACGTGACTTTACCAAAAGAACCAAAGAGTATAAGCACATACTATTAAAATAAAGACTGTTCATCAATACATCAATTCATATTTACTGTACCTACAACAGGTCGGTAGGTTAACACATTGGGCTGTATGGAGGCCCGTCTACTATACACTACACTATACACTACTATATACACTACACTATACACTACATTATACACTACTATATACACCACTACTATACACTACACTACTATACACTACACTACGTTACTATACACTACGCTACTATACACTTCACTATACAATACGCTACTATACACTACACTATACAATACGCTACTATACACTTCACTATACAATACGCTACTATACACTACACTATACAATACGCTACTATACACTACACTATACAATACGCTACTATACACTTCACTATACAATACGCTACTATACACTACACTATACAATACGCTACTATACACTACACTATACAATACGCTACTATACACTACACTATACAATACGCTACTATACACTTCACTATACAATACGCTACTATACACTTCACTATACAATACGCTACTATACACTACACTATACAATACGCTACTATACACTTCACTATACAATACGCTACTATACACTACACTATACAATACGCTACTATACACTACACTATACAATACGCTACTATACACTACACTATACAATACGCTACTATACACTTCACTATACAATACGCTACTATACACTTCACTATACAATACGCTACTATACACTACACTATACAATACGCTACTATACACTACACTATACAATACGCTACTATACACTTCACTATACAATACGCTACTATACACTATATACAATACGCTACTATACACTTCACTATACACTACACTACTATACACTACGCTATACACTACTATACACTATTCTACTATACACTCCACTATACACTACATTACTATACACTACACTACTATACACTACACTATACACTACTATACACTATGCTACTATACACTACACTATACACTACACTACTATACACTACACTACTATACACTACTATACACTACACTATACACTACACTATACACTACTAGATACTACACATTGGGCTCTATGGAGGCCCGTCGTTAAGTGATTAGTCGTTAACAGGGGTTCTACTGTAATTGTGAAGGCTGTCTGCTGAATTACAGCACAGCTAGTCTCGATGAGGCATGACAGTTTGGGCAGGAGTGAGTCTCTAATTTGTAGGGTTGCCATGATATGCTTGTACGGTGACACATTGCTCAATATACGATCTGTGAAAAATTGTATCGTCTATCTTGCTAAATATTGCGATATCAAGGCCTTAGTGGTTCATTTAATTTGTATGACATTTTCTACTCGCTGACACATCAAATTCTCTCATTAAAGTTGTCCAACAATGGCACTTTCACCTATTCATTTGATGATTTGTAAAAAAAAAGCTAATATACACTGCACTACTATACACTATACACTACTATACGTAGACTTTAACTCTTCCTGGGAATTCCCAAGCATTCGCAGGCCAGCAGAGCAACATCGTCCCACCAGCGTGTCCTGGGTCTTCGCCCAATGTTGTCGATTGTAACAATAATAATAAAAAAAATTTACATAGCGTCATTCCCACAATGCCGCAACATCGATTAGCCAGTCCCGTAACACAGATGGAACAAAAACAAACCCGACACTCACTTCAAGTAAAAAAAATTTAAGATGAATAGAGAAATAACAAGGAAATGACGATCGCAAGTTGTAATGAATGGATAGCCGGCAGGGGCTTAACGTTGAGTGAGCTGCAGTTGAAGAGATTTTAAGCGGTCTTTATTTGCACGGGGAGGCAGCGAACGGCACAAAAACCGTGCAACAAGCCTGCGATAAACAACGACACAGATACTTGAGACCGACGTTGCGATAATTATCCCGTCGTGAAAATTCAAATCGCATCTCATCGATATCGCTGCAAGCCTAGTACTTAGAACTCAAGCTAGGTATCTTACAGCAGCAGTGGATGTTTCGGATACACCGATGCTGCCTGGTTGTGACTGCTACTTCAGAGGCTTTAGCGAACGCCAGATGCTGCCGCTGTGCGTTCTCCCGTGACGGTTGACACCGCGACGCAGCGTCCCTCTCCACGGACGAGAAGACGCTCAGTTTCACGAGCAGAGAGACGCGCACCCCCCCCCACTCACCCCAATCCACCGCTCCTCCCCCTCTACTCACCCCAATCAACCGCCCCCCCACTCACCCAAATCCACAATCCCCCCCCCAACTCACCCCAATCCACCACCCCCCCCTCCCTCTATTCACCCCCCACTCACCCCCCACTCACCCCAATCTACCGCCCCCCCCAACTCACCCCAATACACCACCCCCCCACTCGGCTATCATTTGTGGCCAGGTCGCTTCTCAAAAGGAACTATATAGCTTAGATGCCTTTACCTGGTAAAATAAATGAAAAACAATAATTAGTTTTTTCGTAGTTCAGTTATACCAACACACGGCATTAAGTTGCCGGGCACAGGCCCGAAAGGCCCAAACTAGGCCCAAAATGTCGAGCGGCCGGCGACAAACGCAAGCGCGGCGAAAGTTGCCACGGATACGTGTTGACCACGTCTCTTGAGTTGAGCACGGCAACTGGGAGAGAGCTCTGGAAGAGACGATGGGAGGGAGGTCCCGCTCTCGGGCTGCGGCAAGGAGAGGCAGAAGGAGCAGCGTCGATAACCCACGCAACGCGTGCCGGTGGTTGTGGAACACGGCGCGGATGAGATGATAGTCCGTCTGGTAGGCTGAGTACTCTGCGTAGGGAGGATGAGCCAGTGAGTGACGTTAATTTGGAACGACGGTGACTCCGTGGTTGTGGCAGCGATAGAAGAGTGACTAGGAGGCGACTGCTGATCCAGCGACTGAGTTACTCGGGTGAATTGGCGATCGCTGGATCCGTCGCTCAACCTGATTGCTTAACTTTGAACTCCATTAAATATGGTGAGGTTAGAGCCGAGAGGTTTGTTATGTAACAGCATGATATGCAAGTAGCTATTTAGGGCAGAAGTCCAGTAAGAGGCGGGGAATGCAGAACATGTTGACTGACTTCAGAGAGCTTTTTTGACTTACGATACCTTGAATACACCGGCAATTACCGACTTGAATTTCTATGAGTAGTTCTCTACCGATTAATTTGGTTGCAGCGACAACAGCAACAAAACCTTAAAATATTATAAAATAAATGCAATAAACATAATTTCAAACTGCAACACTGCGCTGTGGTAGATCAATCCACTGTTTTAGTCTTACCAGCGGGGCCACTCTTCACACTGCACGCGGTCACAAACAAACACGATCAGAGGTTTGCAAAAATCCTCCGTCTGTTAATTACCGATCCTTCAGAATCATGTCGGGGGGGGGTGGGATCTTTAACGCCCACCGCTTCGCATTGTCGCGGTTAATACACGCCGCAGCATTAATCGGGGCCAACCCGTTGGATTCGAACCTCAAACCTCTGCAGGAGAATCAAACCGTTGTTGTTCCAAAGAGCTTACAACGTGTGATTAGCGCCACTCGTGATGGACTGCACCCGTAAGAGCGCGCGGTGAGAAATGGTCAGACTTATTATACTTTGACGTCTATTAAAAATGTTGAATGTTACACTCTGATTGTGGACGGCTGCGCACCCCTCCCCCTTATTTTACACGCCCGTCTTGAACTTTGAACCCATATGTATGACCCTCAGGCTCTGGCAATGGACACAATCATTGTTCCCCGGACGCGAAGTCTTCAGTTTGCAGTTCTACCTCTTCCCCTGTCCCCAAGGGCGATTGGCAAGGTCAGACTGGACACGGCCTCGCTTGAATGCGTCTGGCCTGGATTGGCGATCGCCAATCAACCACCGTTGTTACTCTCCATTTGTTTATAAACACAGCGCGGTCGGCGTAGACGTTCCGTTCTTCACTCGTCGTTACTGAACCACGTCCTCCTTGTTAATAAACGTAAACGTCGCCACTGCTATTCGAGCCGTGACCCCCTCGGCCGATGCTTTTAATCAACTTCACTTAATGCCTTTGGGCCGATGGCGTGCCAAAGGCACTGCGTTACTCGGTCCACGCTTTTTGCGCGCGCGTGGCAGTGATTAAGATGCTGAATCTTCTTGGTTCTTTCGGTAAAGTCACGTAGAAGGGAAATAATAAAATAAAACATATTAGTATATAATTTTATTATATTATATTATTTTATTATGTTTTTTTTAATTATTTCCCTTCTACGTGACTTTACCGAAAGAACCAAGAAGATGAATCCCTGCAGTCACGAAAGCTTTAAATCGAAATTTAAGATGCAGAAGTGCGTGGTAAAAAAAAGACAAATCCGAATTAGAGTATTGGACTCGTCAGTGGATGTCACCGGTGTATATTTGTGAATAGAGAGAAATGTGTCGAGCCTTCCGAGATTCGGATCTCAAAATGTTAGCGTCGTTTAGAATGTACAGTAACTGTGGTTTGCAACAATGGGTTCGTTGCAAGCTTAATGTGATGTTTGCAAATCCGTAAGCAAACGTGGAAGTTGCATTCAGTGCACATGCCAATTGTTTTGAAGTATCTACTAAATTTATTAGGGCATCTGCCAGTTGTATTTGGGCAGAACACAAATGCGATTATTTCAATGATGGAACAACTGCAGGGGCATAGACAATTCTAAAAACGAGACCACAAACTCCATTCACACTTAGTGGAGGTTACCGGTCTACATTTGTGAATATAGAGAAATGTGTGGAACCTTCCCAGATTCGGATCTCGAAAATGTTAGCGCCGTTTGCAGTGTTACTGTGGTTAGCAATAAGGGGTTAGTTGCACGCTTCATGTGATGTTTGCAAATCCGTAAGGGAACGAGGAAGTTACTTTTGCCTTCGGTGCATATGCCAATTTTTTTAAGCATCGACATCGCTTTTTTAAGGCATCTGCCAGTTTAATTTGGGCAGACCACAAATGCGGTTATTTCAGTAATGGAACAACTTAACAGGCATAGTCACTGAACAAAGAATGAGACCGCATGCTGCATTCACACTTTATAATGAAATGTTTTGCATTTCAGTTGATAACTTTTAACCTCCCTTCCATGAGGATAATCGGGCAAGGTTCATGTTGGCCAGTGACAAGCCTGGTATAATGTATGACATGTATTAATGTATATGAAGGGTGTTTGAATAAGAAAAGAGAGACGTTTAATATAAACATGTGTTTGGGTTTCGATTTAAAGCTTTCGTGACTGCAGGGATTCATATTCTTGGTTTACGTTTTATTATTTTATTATTTCCCTTCTACGTGAATTTACCAAAAGGACCAAGAATATGTGCTTGGGTGGCATGAATGGCAACGGAACGCCGCAGAGCGTTTTCATTTCTAGGGCCTCATTTCCGTGACCGTATTCATTTCTGTGTCACGAAAGACGAAGATCCCCCCCCCGTATAGCCCAAACAGACAGTTGGGTCAAATGCTGTTTGCGAGCACCTATGAATGCTGGCACGGCACACGAGGGGGTGGATGGTCAAGCCCCACGTTCGACCGCCTTTCTCTGCCTAGTGGCGATGTTTACACATTGCACCGAGTACTCATTCTTAGCTCAGTCGACCTAGGGGAGGCCCAGGACCAGTTCAAATAATTGTCAATGGTGTTGGCCTTGAGAGAGAATCGAACTTGGGCCGCCGGGTTCGCAGCTCAGCTCGCTAACCGCTATGCCCACCGCTCCCCAAAGGCACAGAATTTGCAACCATTCCACCCGTTCCACCAAGATTCATGCAGATGCCGTGATAGAACGTCGTCTTCTATGAATGTCACGTGTGTTGGCACGCTCAAAAAACTACGTTCGTGTCAGATTTCCGCACTTGCGGCTGCAAGGCTCGCGTGATGAGAGACGCTTCTTCTCGCGTAACCTTCCGACTTGCTGGCCCAGCTCAAATACCGTTGCTGGGGGTCTGCACTATTAATTTGGAAGACTGTGCCCTGGCGAAATAATAGACAGTGTGTGAAGAAAAAACGAAAGACGTACCAGTTTTTTTCTGGTCATCATCTTGCCTTCTTTTGAAAGTGATCGTGAGATGGGGAATATTGTTCTGGGAACGAGGGGATTCTGGAGAAGCAATTCGTGACCTTAAGGGGAAACGGCAAAGGGCCTGTTGTCAGTCGAGGCCACAGGCTGCTTCTGATGAATTTGGCAATCCTCTTGCCTGCCTTCTGCCTTTCCCCGATTCTCAAAGCGCTGCAGAAATCCGAGGGAGGTGAATGGGTCATTGTAGACGTTCCCAACAGGGCCCAGGAGCTATTGGATGTCAAACTTTTTTTTGTTTGTACCCCTGGTTTGGAGGGACCAGCTTTGAGCAATCACCGATTCATTGCAAGTCTACCGACGCGAAAGGCAGTCTGCTTCTCATCTCCAGATAATAAGCTGACCCTTGACAGCTTGGGACTTGCAAGGGCGGGGTGAGGTGCTTCTTGCGTTTGGATCCGGGAGGCTCGGAGACATCTTAATCGGAATTAATGCTGGCTCCCAACTTGGCACGTGTGTGTGTGCGCGTATATAAGGGCGGCTTGGGAGGTTTTTTTAATTGTTGTAGTCGTAGTGTGTCTGTAAGCGGATCCTACCATTCCCCCCAGCCCATCCGAAATGATTGAACGTCCAGAGCAGGTTTTTTTTGTTTCGATTTAAAGCTTTCGTGACTGCAGGGATTCATCTTCTTGGTTCTTTCGGTAAAGTCACGTAGAAGGGAAGTAATAAAATAATAATAAAAAAACATAATAAAATAATTCTCACGACGTTTCGGCCACAACGCAAGCAGCCGTCCTCAGGTGAAGACCAGGTCTGTCGGGGAGACAGCATTCAGTCGCTGTGCATTCAGACGCTGTCTCCCCGACAGACTTGGTCTTCACCTGAGGACGGCCGCTTGCGTTGTGGCCAAAACGTCGTGAGAATTATTTTATTATGTTTTTTTATTATTTTATTACTTCCCTTCTACGTGACTTTACCGAAAGAACCAAGAAGAGGTTTTTTTTGGTTTGGGCGATGGAGCTCCTCCCCGGAGTTTTTATTTCACAACGATGTCTTCAGCAGCTACCCGGTTTGCACTCATTTGTCTTGCAAGGGGCGGTCTCTTTGCAGATGGCCTCCTCTTTGATCGGTCTTGCCTTGTCCGTGCGATATTCGTCTCTTTTCTCTTGGCTCGTTCCTTTTATGAGGCTCTGGTTTTGCCGTTGCCCGAGTTTTGTAAATGCACAACTCCATGTCGGGCGGTGGCGTCTGTGACTCGCCGAAGCTGTAATCACTTCTGTCATTGACTTGAGGCTAAGCTGTTCAGTCGGCTGCATGGCCACCGTTCGAACACGTTTGGCGAGGACTATTTCTCTCGCCGCGGATGCCCGAGGTGATTGTCTTATTTGGAAAGGCAGCTGTGTGTGGCCACTGGCGCATATGGAGTGCGTGATACCGGCAGCGACGCTAACAACAGCGAGCGCGGAGCGCCGGGCGGCTAAAACGCAGCGACTTGGCACAGTGGGGGGGAGTACAGGTGGTGCATCTGCCAGTCCATCTCGGTCAGTCGAGCCATAGCACTTGCGTCTGTGCCGTGTCCTCCTGCCAGCGAGGCCTTCCAACACTTTCACATGGCCTCAGTGTGCACCTAGCCTGGCACAAGCTCTATGGTGATGTCGCCGCCGCTTAGTGGCTGCCGCTGTTTGTCCTGGTAGTGATTTTGTTTCTCTGTGGTCGAATGGGTGCTGGCTAAAGAATCGGAATTTTATTCCACGTCAATCGCAGGCTTATAACAATAACAACTCTTTACGAACATATTCGTGGTACTTGAGAGGGCACTCGGCCCACGTGTTGGAACGATTTTGAGCGCATCGTTAAGGCATCATGGGCTGCTGACTTTGAAGGTCCCATGCGATGAAAGGAAAATAAACTTGAGCATACATTGTAATGTTCTTTTTGTTTGTTATTACAGTGCGTTGAAGCGTGTCACGCTACATTCTGCTGTGAGATGTTTTTTTTTTACACGTACCTAGGACTAAGTGCCCAAACGTGGCTTTGCTTTGGAGATGGGTGCTCGGTGGACTGCTTGGACATAGTTCAGTATTGTCAGCAAACAGCACAGGAGGTTGTGGGTTCGATCCCGACCCTGACGCCTGTATATTTTGAGTTTGCATGTTCTCCCTGTGGAGGTGTCGATTTTTCTCCGGTTCCCCCCCCCCCCCCGCGGTTTTTTCCCTCCACATTTAGAATCGACGTCACGCATTTCGAGTATTTGGCCGCTTTGAATTTTCGCACGACAATAAAATATGTGGCTACGTCATTACATGACCTGATCCAGAAAGCAATTTTGATCACTCTGGAACAAGCTTGAGTTGGAATCACATGGGTAGACTTGACCCGCTCCTTGCGATTGGCATTGGGTGGCGGGTGGATATCCTCAACTGCGTTGATTTGGGCGTTGAGATGATTATGTATGTATATTGAACGTCTTTCGCACACCATACCTCGCTAAACCGTGCTAATCAAAAGGTACGGCACTCTGGCATAAATTCGGGGTGCGCACGCAACCAAAATGTATTTATTTGCTTAAATTTGGGGGGTTGGCATTATGCATTGTGGGCTAAGACTTATCGTGTTTGCGTTTGCGTCACGAGCTTCTTGTTGCATTCTGTAGATGCGCGTTGCCGCCATCGTATATAGACGAGCGTGTTGCACGCGGCGATTAAGATATAGGCTTGCCCTGATTACACCGGGCCTTGCTAATGCAGACACACCGTGCCCCCCCCCCTCCGTCCTCTTCCCCCCCCCCCCCCCCCCCCCGTGTGCTGCAGCCATGCAGAAGGCGTGGCGCGAGAGGAACCCCCAGGCCCGGATTAAAGCCGCTCACCAGGCGCTGGAGCTCAATAACGAGTAAGCCACGTGCACGCTCTCCACCCGCACCGTGCCCGCGTTTGTGCAAGTGGGCACAGGTGGGCACAAGGTGGGCACATGTGTGGGCACAGGTGTGGGCACAGGTGTGGGCACAAGGTCCGCACAGGTGGGCACAGGTGTGGGCACAAGGTGGGCACAGGTGTGGGCACAGGTGTGGGCATAAGGTGGGCACAGGTGTGGGCACTGGTGGACGCAAGTGGTCGCACGTGTGGGCACACGTGGGTTCACGTGGGTGCCGAGTTGCTGCGTGCACGCCAAAGTTTGAGTTTTATTTGGCTTGAAACACAGGTAGTTCCCGTTTTAGCCAGTTGCCAGGCTACTTTAAACAGCAGATCCGTGAGCAGAGCGGCGACAGCAACCTAACAAAGACAAAAAGACGTCAACGTTTGCAGAGAACGAGTATGCAGGGCACTTGAGGAATATTGGCAGAGATGCGGTCAATTCTTGGGAGTGCGATGAGAGGTCAAGACTCGGGCGAGACAACCGGGAGTGGTTGCTTTGCCCACTTTGCAGGTATTCAACTATCGCGCGTAGAGCATCATCTCTGAATGGCCTCATTGAGTCTCTTTGTCTTGTTCCACTTGCCATAGATCGGTCGGTGGAACAAAGACAGCTGCCACTAAAACTGGACCGGAAAACACCAATTGGAGCAGGTAGGTTATTGATCGAGCGTGTACACACTGATAAGGTAAGGTCATGCATGTACGTGGGGTGCCACGGTTGCGAGATTTTAACAACTACGCCTGGTATGCAGGTGGTCGTGGGTTCGATCCAGACCCTGACGCCTGCTGCTGTATATTTGGAATTTGCGTGTCCCGCTCTTCCCGTGGTCGCATGGATTTTTCTCCGGGTACTCCGGTTTTTCCCTACATGTTTAAAATCAACATGCGTTCAGAATATTTCGCCGCTCCACGTGATGATAAGCCTCTACGTTGAGCTGTAATTTGTGGCCAGGTCGCTTCTGCAAAAGAGCTGTATAGCTCAGTGGGCCTTACCTGGTCAAATAAAACAATAGTTTGTCGTTTAGTTTACTCTCAGGAACAAAACCGATAAGCCTTTTCTTACACGCTGGCCCGGACGTCGAGGAAACGGTGGCCGTACCCACACTTTGCCCCACCACACACGATCTGCTGATTGACCACCGGGCAGCATTAATGTTACCCATTTATGCTGCCCGGTGGATAATGCCCCCTCCATTTGCTTGGATTGCCGCGTCCGGGCGATGGAGTTGGAACCGGCTTGCTCTCGACCGAGACTGACGGTGATGCTCTCCTGTTACTCCACTGAGGCAGCGTCCTCTCTCTCGAAGAGAACAAGTATAACCCGTAAAAACAAAGTTTTTCACTATAAATCCTTTATATGCGTGGCGGCTAGAGTCCTTTCGTTCTCTGGCTTGAGATGGCTGCCACCTATGGGTCATATGATTGTATGGCAGCATTAAGCAATTGGTAATTAAATATAATATTTTTGTCCTAAAAAGTGTAAAATTTTGGGAAAAAAATTTCACGAACATTAATTGTCACGCACAACGAGTCTGTGTGGAAAATGTCAGCTCGATTGGATCACGGGAAGTGGGTTAAAAAACGACCGAAAGATTTGCACGGTCCTAAGCAAGCAAGCAAGTGAACTTAATATAAAGGATTTTAAAATAGCGGGCTTCGGTTTCGCGTCATCTTCGGCAAGTGTCGGTGGAATGCACGCTGATTGTTAGTAAAGTGGCGCTGGGTCTGAAGCCTTTACCTTGGGGCTAGAGTGGTAAAACCTCTCCAGTAAAGCAAACGTGTGCGGCGTCTTTGCTTCGTCGAGTTAAGCTCTCTCCTGCCAGAAGTGGACGTGGCAATGATCGTAGGGAGATTGACTGCTCTTGCTTAAGTACAACGATCGATCCACTGCTGGATGAATGCAGCATGCTGTCAGTTTTTTTTATTACCCTCTCACAGCTCGTGAGATATTTGACGACATTCTAAACACACTGAGCGCTTCGTAAACTTATCAGCACATTGTTGCTTCCTGTTCTGCTGCTGTTGCTGCTGAGAAAGCACACACACGCTATTCCATATTGCAGTGAAACGCCTCTCATCCGTCTCCCCTCTAATCCACGGTTCATTCCCTTGGTCTGCGGATCGCCGGGGACTTACAGATCTTGTCGATGTCAAAGAAAACACCTTAGCTACCTAGCTCGTTATCAGAGGCAATCTGGCCACACGTGATAGTGCAATTTGTAGAAGCAGCCAAATGATTTGAACGCGTGCTGCTAAATGTGGAGGGAGGGAAAAACCGCCGTCTGTTTCCATCCGCATGGGGATCAAGCGTTGTTCCCTCACGCGCTTTGCTTTCTCCAGGTTGTATCATCTCCTCTAGATGTAGATGCCACTGGTTCTTCATGTTCTGCAGATGTAGATGCCACTGGTTCTTTGTGTTCTGCAGATGTAGATGCCACTGGTTTTTCGTGTTCTACAGATGTAGATGCCACTGGTTCTTCACGTTCTGCAGATGTAGATGACACTGGGTTCTTCATGTTCTGCAGATGTAGATGCCACTGGTTCTTCACGTTCTGCACATGTAGATGACACTGGGTTCTTCATGTTCTGCAGATGTAGATGCCACTGGTTCTTCACGTTCTGCACATGTAGATGCCACCACCGCCATCTATTGCGCGGCGGTTGAACTTACGATTCTCAGTCCGAACGGGCGACTGGACATGCGGACACGTTTGTTCGTATCTCGAGAAAGTTCGTAAGTCGAGTGCGCGCAAGTCGAGGATTCCCCGCATTATGAACGTGCTCCCACGTGCTGTGAGGCTGTGCGTCGCAATGCGCCCACAAGGGGGCGGTGGTGGTCCATTGCAGTACCCGGGGGTGGGGGGGGGGGCGGAGGTTGTTGGCAATGCGGCGCTTTCTTTGATATATATACGCTTCGGACTTTCGTAAGCCCGATTAGCTACTTTGTAAACGGATGAAGCATCCATAATCGAGTGTGTTTTGGGGTTAGATCGCGTCAACGTTTACGTGACAACCCTTACTAGTTGGCTGTGTCCGGCGGTGGTGGGTTTTAACGACACATTCATATATTTACGCGATCTTACCCAAAAAAACCTCTATTATGGATGATACTGGTCGCGAAAGCCTACGTGTTAAACGGATTAAGCATTCGTAAACGTTCATAATGAAGGTTTTTTGGTTTATATTGCGTAAGTATAAATGTGTCGTAACCCTCCACCACCCGACACGGCCAGTGAGGTTTGTCACGTAAACAAAACGCGCCAAATTAGTTTACTAGGGTAGTGTATAGTGTAGTGTAGAGCGTAGTGTATAGTGTAGTGTATAGTGTAGTGTAGAGCGTAGTGTAGAGCGTAGTGTATAGTGTAGTGTAGAGCGTAGTGTAGAGCGTAGTGTATAGTGTAGTGTGTAGTGTAGTGTGTAGTGTAGTGTGTAGTGTAGTGTCTAGTGTAATGTAGAGCATAGTGTATAGTGTAGTGTATAGGGTAGTGTATAGGGTAGTGTAGAGCGTAGTGTAGAGCATAGTGTAGTGTAGAGCGTAGTGTATAGTGTAGTGTATAGTGTAGTGTATAGTGTAGTGTAGAGCGTAGTGTCTAGTGTAATGTAGAGCATAGTGTATAGTGTAGTGTATAGGGTAGTGTATAGGGTAGTGTAGAGCGTAGTGTAGAGCATAGTGTAGTGTAGAGCGTAGTGTATAGTGTAGTGTATAGTGTAGTGTATAGTGTAGTATATAGTGTAGTGTGTAGTTTACTACTTCAGCCCACCGGTGTGTTGGAGAGTAAATCCACAACTTTTACAATTTGAGTAGTACGACGTTTCGCTGGTAATTACATCCAGCATCATCAGGCGATTTGCCCGACGATGCTGTCGGGTGGTTGGGAGGGTTACGACACATTTATACTTACGTGATCTGAATCAAAAACCTTGATTGTGAAAAATATTGGTCGCGACAAGTGGTGTTTCTTTCCCGTTCTTGCGCCGTTGCTCGTAAGGCACGAAGGTTGTGCGCAGCTTCAACGCGGCTTCATACTCCAGTTTTGAGCTTACCTATTCATAACTCAAGGCTGAGTGTCATTATGTAACGGTGAATCATAATTTGTTGAGTTGCCATTCGGTTCAGTGGAATCGTTTACACCTATAAATAATATCAGTGGGCCGTTTTGGCTGCCCGTCGAACAAAGGCGGTGGTCACCCCATCGCGCGCTTTCAAATGTACTTTTGCGGCCGTCTGGAACGTTCTTCTGATATTAAGAAGCCACTGGAGCTATGCACTTGTAAATCATCTATATTGAAAACGCATTTCTTTCTAACCACTTCTTGTGTTTAGTTTTGGTGTGTTTCCCCCCACACTTCCGATTAGCACGGTTGGCTACGTGCAGTGCGAAAGAAGTTCAACATACGTACATAGACTACTCGTCCGGAGACCTATAAACCAGAGGTCGCAAACGGGTTTTGATTCCTTACCCGCACCCGTACCTGGCCGCACCAGGGTCGCAAATGGGTACCCGTACCCGGCTGGGTACGGGTACCCGTTCCCTTCCCGTACCCTACCCGAAATGAGTGACAAACGGCTACTCACCAGTGACTCATGTCCTACCCGTACCCGTACCCGGCCGCACCAGGGTCGCAAACGGGTACCCATACCCGTACCTGGCCGGGTATGGGTAGCCGGGTATCGGGTAGGGTATGGGTATCGGGTACCCGGTTGCGACCTCTGCTATAAACTCACACGAGACCCATAGTTTATTGTCTTTCCCCCGCACCTCCGATTAGCACGGTTGACTACGTACGGCGCGAAAGAAGTTCTACGTAGATGCATTGTAGACGTGACAATCTTGTCAGTGTTGTGAGGGGGGGGGTTCATGACTAGATTTTTTTGGCATGAAACCACTGCTGTGTGTCCCGACCCAAAAAATCAAATAGAATATTTATTTAGACCGGAGGAATCCGACGAGCTATGAAGCACATTTTTCTCAGATGTCCAGATTCGGCGGCTCATGGATGGAGATAAGATTTCACTTAGTCTGAGTCAAACAATAACATCCTGGGTGTTGTGGCGGATTGATGGGCACCGCCACGCAGGAGCAATCGGTGGTTTTCATGACTCACGCGATTGCAAAACGTCGCTACCAAGTTTATGCCAGTGGGATGAGCACGTTGCTTTTTGTGTTATTATTGTTATCATTCCACTTTACCCAGCAATGCCTCGCTGAGTCTCATGACTCTTATTCAGGGAGGGTCCTGCCAAGTTTTCACAGTAGGGGGGATGATGATTGCTATATTTACTCCCAATGAAGTTGCGGTAATCTTTTATTTATTTAAATGTAGGATTTTGAAGGTGGTGCCGATGCACAGCGGCAGCCTCCTCTTGCGAATTATTTCCCGGGTTCTTTAATGTCCACATTGAAGTTGACGGCACACAGTATTTTCAGGGTTAATCCACCCGCAGCATGAAACAGCGCGGCCTGCTGGATTCCAAACTAAACTTTTTTTTAACACGTAGGCTTTCGCGACCAATGTTATTCATAATCAACGTTTTTGGGTTTAGATCGCGTTATTTATAAATGTGTCGTAACCCTCCAGCACCCGACACGGCCAATCAGTAAAAATGTGTCACGTTGACAAAGACAAATAGTTCACTGCTTTAGCCCACC